CTAATCTGACAAACCTGCTGGCTACCCGAAAGATCCGATATACAAGATGGGTATAGCCGGTGTTTTGATTGTGCTGCTGCTGACTACTGCGTGACCTCACCGTCACGTTCGGGTTTGATTCCCTGGAGAGTGGATTACCACCAGTCACCCTGGTCTCGCATGGCGTCTGCGACCTTGATGAAACCGGCAATGTTGGCTCCGGCGACCAATGAGGGGATGGCACCTCCCTCGGCGAACTCGGTACCGGTGGTCCAGCAGGTCTTGTAGCAGTTGACCATGATCTCCTTGAGCTTCTGGTCGACCTCCTCAGGGGTCCACTTGAGCTGTAAAAAAACGATTGTCAGCGATCGTGTCTCAGTGCCTCAGCTGCTTTAGGTGCACCACTCACTCGCTGAGAGTTCTGGGCCATCTCGAGACCCGACACGGCGACACCACCAGCGTTGGCAGCCTTTCCAGGGGCGTAGAACACCATGCCGTCCGTGTTGGTCTTGGACTTGATGGCCTTTCGGGTGTTCTCAAAGACCTCGATGGCCTCGAGGGTGCAACCCATGTTGGATCCCTCGGCGACGTATCGGACACCAGCCTTGACGAGAGCCTTGGCCTCGTCGCCGTTGATCTCGTTCTGGGAAGCCGAGGGGAGGGCGACGTCGGCCTTCTCGACGAGGGTCCAGGGTCGCTCTCCGACGTGCCACTTGAACCTCTCTCCGGCGTCGAAAGCGGTCAAGCTCTTTCGGGCGAGCTTGATGGTGGCAATGGACTTGATGTCCTCGGCGTTGAAGCCCTCGTCGGAAGTGGCGATCAGAGAACCGGTCGAGTCGGAAAGAGAGAGGACCTTGCCTCCGAGCTCGAGGACCTTGAGAGCGGCGTACTGGGCGACGTTACCGGCACCGGAGATGAGGACTCGCTTGCCCTTCCAGTCCGTGTTGTCGAGGTCTCGGAGCATCTCGGTGACAAAGTAGACGAGGCCATAACTGGGCGAGGGGTTAGCGCGGGCCTGTAGACCGAAGACGCTTCCGACTCACCCGGTGGCCTCGGGTCGGATGTTGGAACCACCCCAGTTGGCTCCCTTTCCGGTGAGGATACCAGAGAACTCGTTCCTGTACTTCTTGTAGGCACCGAACATGAAGCCGATCTCTCGCCCACCGGTACCAATGTCACCAGCGGGAACGTCAAGGTCGGCACCGATGTGTCGAGAAAGCTCCTGCATGAAGGCGTAGCACTGGGACCCAGGGGTTAGTAGGGAAATGTCGGGGCCTGCGTTGCCACTCACGAATCGCCTGATCTCGTTGTCGGACTTGCCCTTGGGGTCAAAGTCGGAACCACCCTTACCACCGCCCATCATGAGGCCGGTAAGAGCGTTCTTGAAGATCTGCTCGAAACCCAGGCTGCCCGGGGGGGTCAGTGGGTGGACAGGACAGCCAACCACAAGCACTCACAACTTGAGAATGGAGAGGTTGACGGTGGGGTGAAGTCGGAGACCTCCCTTGTAAGGACCAAGAGCAGAGTTGAACTGGGAGACTCGTCAGCACAGAACTTGATCAAGACTCCGGCGGACCCACCTGGCATCGGAAACCCCTGTTGACAGCAAGGGTACCGTCGTCCTTCTCCCAGGTCACTCGGAACTGGATGACTCGCTCGGGAATCTGCACAACCTCGAGTGCCCTTCGGTACTCGGGGTTCTTGACGAGGAAAGGCTCGAGAGTCTGAGTGATCTCGCTCACAGCCTGGACACAGAGTCAGCGTTGGCAAGAGCTCGTACGAGCGCGCTACGCACCTGCTGGAACTCGGGCTCGACGGGAAGGTTGGACATTGTATCTGGGTTTCTAGGTTCTATGCGGGTGATTGAGTCTGACTCGGGCTTTTGCAGGCGCTATGCAATCTATACAATATGATGGGAACGAGAGAAAGCTCCACGGCATCCCGATCTCCCGCCATGTTATATACCTTGCCGGGGTATGCTCTCACTCCACAGGCGTCAACCGGGGCCGTATTCCATATCCCGGCTTGATCGCACACGGCCGTGGCGACGGCCTGAACGGCCAAGCAACCGCTACGGTGTTCATCGACTCGCTACGCTATCACCAGTGTCAACCCTTGATTTCTCGCCAATCACAACGAAATTTCAGCGCTGAGTGACGGTAATCAGCTTCGGGCCAGTTCGACCGAAACCAGTAGCAGCCAATCAGCCCTTCCTATCTCGTCCGATGAAGGCGGTTAGCACCGGGCTCAAGCCGGCATCGCATCGCGGCGTGTAGTTCACGATAAGGTGACCCGTTGTGATTGGCTGTCATCCCGCCCCGCAGGGTTTAACAGAGACCGGCATGTTTCCGGCGATGGCTCTGATAAGCGCCAGCCAGGAACGTCGGTTGCGTTTCACACGTGTCACGGCGGTACTGACGTTAGGAAGGGGGGAGTCATAGGCAAATCGACGGGATCGACCGTCGCACATCGTCTCTCGTGTCCTCCGCTGTTCGCAGTGGTTGCAGCGAGAGTGACGTCCAGTACAAGGGCGAGACATTCAGCGCTCGATATTGCTTCAGCTCGGCTAAAGGGTAAAGCCACCCAGCACAGGATCGCGAGATGAGCGGGGTGCGGTATTCTATCACGGCATACGTGGAGTCCCCACCATCTCAGCATCCGCCTGTTCTTACTGGATGCTGTTTATGAACTTCGAGCATTCCCACTCGGCAGAGATGACAGCGCTGGTTTGAACCCTACTCCATGCTGATGTGACAGTCCGCTCGACCAGACGGTCATCCACCCGTTCGCTTGCTGCGTCCGTCGCCAGCCCGGTGATAATGTGCAGGCTGAGCTCAGCCAGCAAAGCGAGGGTGGTACACTGTTCACAAGCGGGTTTGCGCTTTGGGTGAGCAATCAGGTGATGGCTCAAGCACAGCTGTTGATCACCTAGACTGATCGCCGGGAAACAGGTTGATCACGCTCCTTACCAACCCGCATACGAGGCAGAGGGGACGCAGACGCATTTGAAGGGGTGACTACGGCTCAGCGAATCGAATCGGATTTGTCCCCGAGCCGCTATGAGGGCCATGGCACGACTGTATATACGAGCAGGTATGTCATTGCCGCTCGTGAGGTTTGTCATCCAGCAAGAAAGCTACCACGGCGATGGGCAGGGCAGCGGGCGCAACTCAGCGGCTTTGTGTGTATGACTGGCACGACGGCCAGTCTGGCGCATGGACAGTCCGGCGGACGGACTGGAGCCCGTGCTGGTCACTGAGGGGTCTCAGCCAGCGGGCAGTCTACGTGAATAGTATGCCCTCTTCCCTCCTTTTATCTTCTGACCGCTTCCTCCACCTTATGGATAGCATAGATCATCGCAGCACTTGAAGTATGGTGTTAACTCAGCAACACAGAACGATGGCTTCATCCTTCTTAACTTGTCTCATTCTTCCAACTCATCTAGCTCGAGCTCTTGACGAAAGAGGCGTGCCACCATATGCCGTGAGTCCGCATGTTCTCAGACAAGGGAGGGGCAGGCTAACGGAAGCGTTATGGCCTATTTCACTTCGAGAACTGAATCTAGTGACTTCTCGGGTGTGAGACATTCCGGTGCGGCAGCCGAGAGCTATGAGCTGATCGCAGACAGGACGACGACGAAAGGGAGGACCGTGACGCGGCTTGAGAGGAGGGCGTGGAGGAGGAGGATAAAACGCCTCTGCTTCGAAACCCTCCTGGTGCGGGCGACTCTCCCGCTCAAGATGAAGAAGCCCGAGGGGCAGTGAGTGCAACTAAAGTTGAGACCAAAGCTCGAGTCATTGCGAAAGCTGACGCGTAACCGCCAGACGTACACCCAAAACCAGTTCCCTTCGTTCCTTGCCGGACGAGTGGATCATGGCATGCCGCTTGATTCCGCCAGCCTTCTTACCGAAGGGGTCAACGTGACCGACAGTTATCGCTTGCTTCTCAGAGAGGCCGCCGACACGGTGCTCTCGATGAGCAAGGCTCTCGAGGCTGAGCGAACATGGGAGTCGATCTCGTTGGCCAGGAGCGGGCCAAATCGGTCGCTCGGACTACCATGTTGTGAGTGGCAATCTGTTGCAGTGATCGTCCCTATTATCTCCCGATCAGCTTGGAACAGAAAAGACATGGTCAAAGTCATGTACAACAACGTCTTCAAGCGCGCTCAACAAGATGCCGAAGGACATCGACTCAACCTATCCCACGTCAGCTGGAAGTGTGCGCGTCTTTCGCAGGCGCATCCGGTCCGCGCAGGATGGCGAATCGGCTGCAAGGCGACCCCGCTTGGATGTGAATCCAGATCCACCTGTAGCGATGTCTGTTCTTGCATTGGCTCCTACCCAACCGTTCATCACCCCCGCGATGGCATCAGCCCCGGAGCGAGGCAGGCCCAAGGGCTTTGAGGAGAAGGCGCCAAAGTCCTAAAAAAGGAGGCCACCGCCCCGGCGTTGAAGATGTCAGTCGCAGACATTGATGCTGGTGAGGCGTCGATCAGAGACGGTATCACGGCAGCTACAGCCCTGAAGGTGAGTATCGACGACGACGGGACACTCTCCAACAGCAGCAAAAGCTTGTCGCCCAACCATTCGTCTGCGAGCACCAGGAAGCGAGTCAAGGACTGGGCTGAGGCTGCGAACATCGACCACGATCGCAAGTTCCAGTGTTCAGACCAATCTCGGGCTTCTCTACACTTCCTGATTCGAGTTGTCACTCGTTGTACGAGGGTTCGTCTCCGCTTCGCTTCATCAAACGAGTCTGGGCTGCTTCCGTTGGCACTGATCCCTCGATGTAGATGCGATATTCCGTTGTACAGCTTATGCAACAACACACGCCTCGCGTCCTGTTCGGCTTCGACATTCACGCACATACGTGATAAACAGGCCCTCAAGAACAATGGCATGCTCATTGGAGAAGCTCATCGGGAAGTTCCATACCTCAGTCGAGCAAAAGCTGTAAGGCTTGCTGGGAACTTCCCAAACGACTGTATACGGAAGAACCGCCATGCCGAGGCAAAAAAAGGTTTCCCTTGCCGAGGTTCGAACTCGGGTCTGGCGCGTAATCGTTGTAACGAATACAGTTGAAAAGCGCACATACTAACCACTGTACTACAAAGGACAGGTTGCAAGTGGTTTCCATTACCAATCTATATACTTATAAAAATGGTCTACCGGCAGGTAGCTGCTTTCACAAGTCACCACGTTTGCTCTGTAAGCTCGTATGATGTCTGGTATGCGACCCTTCTGATCCTCTTGCCAGCAGAACTTCGGCTGGCTGCCCTGGACCGCTTGATCGATCTTCAGCTGTTGTGCTTGGAAATACCTATGCGAGGTGTCCAAAGCTGAATACCGTTAGGCTATTCGTCGTGCTGTAATTTCCAAGTAAGCGAGCGCGCATTGATGGCGGCGAGGACCGATCGGTTCTGTTTATCCGAAAGGCTTATCGGACGATCGCAGTATCGAGGTCGTCGACGATGTTGGCGGTTTTATACTCAGGACCAGCCGATCTAGTTCAAAGCTACGCGATGCACCTGCTCCCGGCCCCCCATCCTCTGCTGTGGATGGCGAACAGCAACGCAGATATGTACCCTTCAGCCTTGACCAGCAGCCCTCATGACAGGCTTATCTGCGGACTCGTAGCTAAGCGTCGCGTGCCTGAAATGACCGAGATCGATTGGAAAACAAGAGGCACGAGGCATCTATTTCTTGGAAAATCATTTTCCAACACCATCTAATCTCCATGGTGTGGTATCTTTTGACCGGATCAGCCGTCCAGGCGACGAGGGGGCAGCGACCAATAAATGCATGGTCTGGATCGGAAGGGAGGGCGTTCTTCCCCCCCTCCCCTCGACCATCCTTCTCATCGCTCACCGCAGCATACTGACCTGATTCCGATTCAGCGAAACCGCGAATCCGCAATCGGCCATGTCCATCCACCTGACGCGACTCGCGACTCGTGCGGCCGCTCGGCCCACCCTGCAACGCAGGCTATTGGTGACCTCTACGAGGGCGCTCCGCCCGCACGCTTCCGCTCCGGCGCAGTCGTCCACCACCGCGGTCCAGCCTCATCCTCACCCCCCATCGGCGTCGTTCCATCCATCCTCCTCGTCCATCTTTACCCCGCTCGACACCTTCGCGCCCCGTCATATCGGCCCACGATCTTCCGATGTGGAAGCGATGCTCAGCACCCTGGGCTACAAGTCCATGGACGAGTTCATCGAAGCGACCATCCCCAACAATGTCAGGATAGATGAACTCATAGATCAGGACGGAGCAAAGAACGGCATCAGGCCCTTCAGCGAGCTTGAGCTGGCCAGGAGGATTGACGAGATTGCCAAGCTCAACAAGGGGATGAAGAGCTACATCGGTATGGGGTGAGTGACGTTTCTCAACTTATCCCTACACCAGCTGACCCTTCGATCAGCTACCACAACGCGATTGTCCCGCCCGTCATCCAGCGAAACGTGAGCGCGAGCGTGCACATCGCGGAGCGACCCGCTAACCCAGTTGTAGATCCTCGAGAACCCCGCTTGGTACACCGCCTACACACCTTATTCGCCTGAACAGTCTCAGGGACGACTTGAATCCCTTATCAATTTCCAGACCGTTGCCATCTCCCTTACCGGACTGCCCATCGCCAATGCCTCGCTCCTGGACGAGTCCACCGCCGCAGGCGAGGCCATGGCCATGTGCCTCGCTTCAGTGCCTAAGAACAAATTGTCAAAAGGAAAGAAGGTGTTCCTGGTGTCACCCTCGGTGGCGCCTCAGACTATCGCCGTGCTCAAGACCCGAGCGAGTGGCTTCGGTATCGAGCTGCAGGTGGCCAAGAGCAACGAGGCGTTCGTCGAGGAGGTGACCGCGCTCGGAGAGGAAAAGCTCATGGGAGCTCTCGTCCAATACCCTGATGTCGACGGAGCTATCGGAGAATGGGCTGACGTCGCGAGCAAGGTCAAGAGCTTCGGCGCCAAGATGGTGGTAGCTACGGATCTCTTGGCCCTAACTATGCTCAAGCCCCCTGGAGAATGGGGCGCCGATATCGTCTGCGGAAACTCTCAGCGATTTGGTGTGCCTGTTGGCTACGGTGGACCCCACGCTGCCTTCTTTGCCTGTACTGATGAGCTGAAGAGGAAGATGCCCGGTCGACTGGTCGGTCTAAGCAAGGACTCTCGAGGGCTCCCTGCCTACCGATTGGCTTTGCAGAGTGAGTTCAATCCCGATACTCTTGGTACTCATCTGACACCTTGATCAGCTCGAGAACAGCACATTCGACGGGAAAAAGCCACCTCGAACGTGTGTACCGCTCAGGCCCTGCTCGCCAACATGGCCGCCATGTATGCCGTATACCACGGTCCTGAAGGTCTGCGAAGGATCGCCGGCAAGGTTCACTCGCTTACCCGCATCCTGTCCGAGTCGCTGTCCGGTCTCGGCTTCACCACTATCAACAAGACCTACTTTGACACTCTTACTATCGACGTCTCGTCGGCCGGGGTCACTGCTGCCCAAGTACACGAGACCTCCGTCAACGCGGGAATCAACTTCCGACCCATCGATGACAAGACTATCGGTATTACCCTCGATGAGAGCGTCGGACCACTCGACCTGACGGATATCGTCAACGTGTTCTACACCGTCAAGGGCAAGGCTCAGATCGAGCCCGAGGTCTTGGACGAGCTGGCTCAGAAGATGAGCCTCTCGGCCGAGTCGGTTTCGGCGCCTATCGCTCACCACGCTCGATCGACCGAGTTCCTTACGCAGGCCTCGTTTAACCGATACCATGCCGAGACTGACATGTTGCGATACATGATGCACCTGCAGGAGAAGGACTACTCGCTTGTCCACGGCATGATCCCGCTCGGATCCTGTACCATGAAGCTCAACTCGACCTCGTCGATGGTACCGCTGTCTTGGAAGGAGTTTGGCGGTGTCCACCCTTTCGCACCCAAGGATCAGGCCAAGGGATACGAGGTGCTTCTTCACGAGCTTGAGAAGGATCTGTCCCTTGTGACTGGCTACGATGCCACTTCTGTCCAGCCCAACTCGGGCGCTTCGGGCGAGTATGCCGGTCTGCGAGTCATTCAAGCGTACCACGAGTCCAAGGGACAGGGTCATAGGGACGTCTGCCTGATCCCGCTTTCCGCTCACGGAACCAACCCTGCGTCTGCCGCCATGGTAGGATACAAGGTTGTACCTATCAAGGCCCTCGAAGACGGTTCTCTCGACCTCGCGGACCTTCGTGAGAAGGCTGAGAAACACAAGGACAAGCTCGCGGCCTTCATGGTCACATACCCCTCCACTTTTGGTGTCTTCGAAGAGGGCATCGAGGAAGCTTGTCAGGTGGTTCACGACAACGGTGGACAGGTTTACGTTGACGGTGCCAATTGTAACTCTCTGGTCGGCCTGACCAGTCTGGGTCGAGTCGGTGGCGATGTCTCCCACACAAATCTGCACAAGACCTTTTCCATCCCTCACGGCGGCGGTGGACCGGGAGTGGGACCGATCTCGTGCAAGGCTCACCTTGCGCCTTTCCTCCCTACTCACCCTATCGTTCCCGTTGGAGGATCCACGCCGATTTCAGCTGTGTCGGGCGCACCTTACGGATCAGCCTCGATCAACACCATCTCGTGGGCTTACATCAAGATGCTTGGTGGAAAAGGATTGACTGAAGTCTCCAAGATCGCTTTGCTCAACGCAAACTACATCGCTGAACGACTCAGGCCGCATTACAACCTCCGTTTCACCAACAAGAACGGGCGAGTGGCTCACGAATGTCTCATCGACTTGGGAGAGTTTGAGAAGAGCGCCGGGCTCAAGGTGGCCGACTTCTCAAAGCGATTGCAGGATTACTCATTCCACCCTCCTACCGCTCAATGGCCCATCTCCACCTGCTGGCTGATCGAGCCTACCGAGTCTGAGCCCAAACACGAGCTCGACAGGTTTGTCGACGCCCTTATCGCTATCCGGAAGGAGGCCGATGAGATTGCCGAGGGCAAGCAGCCCAAAGACGACAACGTGTTCAAGAACGCCCCTCACCCGCTTTCCCTCCTGACAGCGGACGAGTGGGAGCGACCCTACTCTAGGGAGAAGGCCGTCTTCCCTGTACCCGGTCTCAAGAAGAGCAAGTTCTGGCCCACGGTCGGTAGGGTTGATGATGGTGAGTCGAAGAGTCGTCTAGCATCAAGCGGCATGTGCTGATCATTTGTTCAGCTGCTGGTGATCTCAACCTGGTCTGCGAGTGCGGTACCGTCGAGGAGTACGCCTAGGTTACACGACACCTCGATTGTCACCCTCAACGGGTACATCCGACTCTTAGCGCTTCGAAATCCCTTCATTATATAGACTCAACCCCACAGCCATCGCGCTGTTGTTCAACCACGTAAACTTCATTCCCGTTGTGAAAATAGCAATTCAACCTTGCATCTAGCATTTGATACCCCACAAGAAGCCCACCCAATAATTGTAGATAGATACCTCGATGGAGGACGCAATGCAAAGTACATGACGACTACTACCAATCCTCTTCCACCTGTTCTCGCTTCCAACCATCACTCTCCTCCTCCCAATCGTCGTCCCCTTCTCCCGCCTCGGCGTCGTCCAGCCCGTGCTCCTCCTCCACCAGGCCAAACTCGTATCTCTCCAACAGGTCCTCTGGGTCGTCCACGTCGACGCCCCTCGACTCCCCGGTGAAGGAAACCTCCTGACCACGTTGTATCGCGCGCAGTTGCGAAGCCTGCGCGGGATCAAAGATGGCTTTGACCCGCAGTCCTTCGACCCGAGCGCGGGACTGCGCTGCGCGAGACTTGCTGGGAGATCGTAAGGAGAGCAAATTGAGCATTGGCAGCGGTAAAGTCGACACGCTTGGACCGTTGGGCGTACCAGGTTGCGTGTTCGTCCGGCGTTCCAAAGGCGATTCCACCTGGTCCCCTGCGTGCCCTTCCTCGTCGGATTCGCTCGCTTCGGCCTCGGCTTGATGCTGCGCCTCTTCCGTGTACGGCTCGTCCAGGTCGGAATGGCTTTCCCTCCTGGTCACCTGCCGCCGAGTCGGCACAATCGTCACTTCGCGTTGTACATGCCCGCCTTCGGGGTCCCACTCGTCTGCCTCGTCATCACTCAGAGTGAGCA